AAGAATGGCCAGACTGCCCAGGTAATGCAACCAGTGATCATTATCAGGTATCCTGGCAGGCAGGATTTCTGCTGGAGACCGCCTCCTTCTGTGATGTATGTATGATGTTTTTTGGGGGTCTTGGTCTACAGGGTGGGCAATTTCAGAAGTCTATATAAGGGCTTGAACACCATTGTTCAGGGTTCTCAACCCTCCTGCGTGTGGTGAGTGGGGACCCTGTTGCAACAGTTCCTTGAGTAGCAATCAGGCTTACTAGCTGCTTTGCTTCTCAAATATACTCTGGTTGGCCTCTGTTATTTCCTCCTACCAATAGGGAACCCACTTAAGGACTCTATACGGGCTCTGGAATACCCCATAAGGGAAAGGGAGCAGTTTTTCTTATAACAGTGGTTTGCCTTTGGGAAGGGGAGCAGGCAGGATTTCCACCAAGGCTGCAGCAGGCGATGATTTATACTTCCCTGCGTGATGGTCCTGGTGAAAATAGCCCCGCCTTGTGGGCACAGTGACTATTAATAATTTTAAAACCATTTCCAGGTGCTGGGAAGTAACCTCGGAGCTATCACTGCAAAGCGAGTGCTGGCTGAAAAGCTGACACATAATTATGGATTTTGAAGGGGGATTGGCTAATCCTCATGCATTTGACTCTATATGGCTCCCATTCTTATACAGTGGTACCTTGGGTTAAGAACTTAATTCGTTCTGGAGGTCCGTTCTTAACCTGAATCCGTTCTTAACTTGAGGTACCACTTTAGCTAATGAGGCCTCCTGCTGCAGGGAGCACGATTTCTGTTCTCATCCTGAAGCAAAGTTCTTAACCCGAGGTACTATTTCTGGGTTAGCGGAGTCTGTAACCTGAAGCGTCTGTAACCCGAAGTACCACTGTATTTTGTAAACACAGGTGCTTGGCCTCTTACACAAGGCAGGAGTCATGTTGGAAGGAAGCGCACTTTAGTCTATCAGCGATTCTCAACGTGTGGGTCCCCAGATGTTTTTGGACTACAACTCCCATCATCCCTGAGTTCTGGCCTTGCTAGCTAGGAGTGATGGGAGTTGTAGTCCAACAACATCTGGGGACCCACAGGTTAAGAAAGGCTGGAATGATTATGTTTCTATGATGATGGCAATGTGTCTGTGGCATGTCACTCAGTTTCACGAAGGAGGATCCAGGGCTGGCCCAATGCGTTTGGGCACCTGTGGCAAACCACAAAATGATGTTCCTCCTCACTCTGCCAGGGAAGAAGGGGGGTAAAGAAGATCCACCTCGTGAACAAGGGGTGGTTAGAAACAAGGGGGGAATCAAATCAACCCAACGGTTAAACTAGGAATCAAGGGCCGTCGTGGGGGGAAAGCGGCTCACTCTGAATCGTGACAGGTGGGGACAGAGCCTAGGAGACCCCGGAGGGCAGCCCCCACCTAGGAATGGGAGGAGACCAGCAGCACCTCTGAGAGGCCACCGCGGAGGCAGAATTGGGTGAGAGGGGCTGCCAAGGAGATGGCAGATCTAGACTGGAAGAAATGTGCTACTGATGGAGCCTTGGAAGCCGGATTTGCCGCTCCTGTGGATCCTGCTGCCTAAGGTGGTCGCCTCACCTTGCCGGCCCTGGGAGGACCATGACCTCACAATAGGAAGGGATAAATAAAAGGGTTCCGTTTCATTGTTTGTTACTTTGGATAGTCATACCGGTTGTAGTTCAACGTAGTTCTAAAGAGGTTTCTGCTTCCTCAGTGCAAGTATCTCCCCTTTCTTCCCCCCATGGGCTGTTGTGGGGGTTCTCTCCACCCTCCAAAGTAGATCTGAGGGAGGCGTGAGATCAAAAAGATGGGGAGAAAGCCCCGCTGTGCTAGTGGGGATCCTTATGCTGGCTTCTGCAAAAGGGAACCAGGGGGTTGAATCCAGCCTATTTATTATTAACTAGATGTCTCCATCAGAGAACCTCTGTTATAGGCCCATTGAGAAGCGAATCAAGTATTTGGAAAAGTATTACAATAAAAAATATCTCCTGGTAGAAATAGAATGAACCTTGTAAAATAACAAATATAATGTTTTTTTGATATCTGATGAAAACAAAGAAAGAAATACAATAACTTGGAACTGTGTGTGAAAAAATTGTAGAAATAATAATACAATGAGTCTAATCGGAAGTTAAATATGTTTGTTTTGCTTTGGGGGTTTTTCTTCATCTTTCCCCCCCTTCCCTTCACTCCCCCCCCTTCCTCTTCTCTTTCTTTTTTCTTTTTTGTGTTTCCTTTCTTGGTCTCCCCTTTTTTTATTCATTAAGAAAAAAATAAAGAAAGGAAAGTGTATTATGAAAATCTCAGTAAGTTAAAAGTGATGTTGTATAATTTCTTTATTAGTATTTATAAAATGTTAAAATTGGTTAATTGTAATGATTTGATGTTGCAACTACTGTGGTCCCCCCGTTATCGTTGAACTCTAAATAAAGTTTTATTCTGTTAAAAAAAGAGAGAAGCGAATCAGTTGGAGAACGAATGCCCCACAAAATACCCTGGCTTTCAATTCTTGTAGACACGGATGTTAAGTCTGAGTGACAATCTAGATTGCCTGAAACAGGTTCAGTGGCAATTAGCCCAAGGAAGGCCTTGCAGCTGAGCTGAGTTTAAGCCAGGCTTTTCAGGTAGGGTTGCCAACTAACCAGGGGGGGGCAGGGGGGAAGTCCCAGTCTGCTCCTGTGCCTTTAACAGCAGACCTGATACCTGCAAAATTTGGCATCGGAAGCTTTTCACAGCATGGAGATAAACATGATCGCTGGTGAACCTCTACACATCAGGCTTCTGCAGTGAAGGCACAGCTTGAAAGTTGTCAGCCCTGCTCCCCAAATACTAACCCACTTTGCTTTTTCCTGGGCCCCACGGCACTTCCAATCCTACCTGGGCTGAGTCCAGTGCTGGCTTGGGTTGTGTTCATCACATAGCCATCTGGCTCAAAGCAGAAATCGCTCAGTCCCTGAAGGGAAAGGGGAAGAAGCAAATGTCTCTTTGACTGCAGTCAGTCGCTAGCAGGATCTAAGCAAAAATGTGTGACTGCAGAAGGTGGAGTCCAGCACCTTTGACAGCCGTGGGTCACTTTGATAGGCATCACAACAGAAGGCTCAAAGCTGGGATGGTGGGGGCAGCAGCTTTGATCCGCAGGGCGTGGGAGAATGTGGAGGGTTCAAATAGAGATTTTTTTTCCGGGGGGGGGGGGGACTTTGAAAGGAAAGAAATAGTGATCTGGGCACTGTCCCTGCCAAATGTATTAAGAGAAAACAACAACAGCCCCAAACTCACCACAGCAGCTGCTGTCTCCAGCCCCATGGAGCCCCAGCTCAGGATGAGGACTAGGAAACTCATGACAGTCATTCTGTAGGCAGGAAAGAGAGAGGAAGGCACTCAAACGGGCACTGGCGGTGGTGCAGTCCGGGCAGGACTCTGGGGCAGAAGCCAATGGCCTGGCTCAGTTAAATGAATATGAAGTATACCCTCTAACATGTACCAGTGCAAAACCGGGATGCTTGTCTTCCGGGGCTGTGCTCCCATGCGAATCATTTGACCCACGTGAGAGCCGCTATCTCGCATGAGACACATGTCCGGCTGCAATCTCACATGTTTTTGGATCCTGAGCTCTTGTGTGTTTGGGGGCACCATGCTCGTGCGTGAGAGCGCAGCCACCACCCCATGGGATGTCCTGATTTAATTGGGACAGTTGATGGATGTGACCCATCCATGCTGGCTCACCTCATTTGGAATTACCGTATTTTCCGCTCTATAAGACACACTTTCCCCCTCCTAAAAAGTAAGGGGAAATGTGTGTGCATCTTATGGAGCGATTGCAGGCTGCGCAGCTTTCGCTGAAGCCAGGAGAGCAAGAGGGATCGGTGCGCACCAATCCCTCTTGCTCTCCTGGCTTCAGGGATAGCTGCCTGAAGCCTCCTGAGCGCAGCGGGAGCAGTCCCGCTGCGCTCCGGAGGCTTCGCTTCGCTGGATAGGTGCTGCACAGCTTTCCCTCTCTGCGCAGCGCCCCTTCAGCAAAGCGGGAGGAGAAATGGAAGGGGCTCCATTTTTCCTGCTGCTTCGCTGAAGGGGCGCTGCTCAGAGAGGGAGAGATTTTTTTTCTTTTCTTGTTCTTCTCCTCTAAAACTAGGTGTGTCTTATGGGTCGGGTGCGTCTTATGGAGCAAAAATACGGTAATTGAAGGAGGACCATCTAGAGAGCGAAGGGGGGCATGTGATTCTAAGACCAGAATCTAACATGACATCACTATATCATGGGGCACTGAGGGGGCTGATGGGAGTTGTAGTCCAAAATGTCTTGAGGGCATCAGGTTGGCCAAGCCTAGTGTAGATGCAATCTGGTGTGAGCACGCTGCCTAATTACCATGAATGGGGATATTGCCATGGTTTTGCTTCAAAGGGCTGCTTAGTTAGGATTTGACAAACAAATACTAACAGTCCTTGATAAATTTGGATGGTGTACGGGAAACCCAGCTGCAGGAGTGCCTGGTGCGAATGCTTGGGAGACCGGGAGTGAGCAAGAGGGCTTAGAAATGGTGAAGACATCGATGCAGGAGGTGGGAAAGAGGTGTGGAATGGTGGCAGGGCCTTTTTGGTGGTGGTGGTGGGATTTGGAATAGTAGGGGCAATTGCTCCAGGTCTCATACACAGAGGGGCCACATCAGTACTGGCAGATTGTACCACTGGCAGGGGGGAGGGGAGGACATTGACAGAGGCTGCAGTGAGAAGGAAAGCGGGGGTGTTGCCTTTGTTAAATAATTGAGTCCTGTGGGCCAGGGAAAGCATCTGGGTTGCAAGGTCTCTATGGGGTTCTGATAGAATCATAGCATTGCAGAGTTGAAAGGGCCCACGTGGGTCCATAGCTGTCAACTTTTCCCTTTCCTTGCAAGGAATCCTATTTGGAATAAGGGAATTTCCCTTAAAAAAAGGGAAACGTTGACAGCTATGCGTGGGTCATCTAGTCCAACCCACTGCAATGCAGGAATCTTTTGCCCAACGTGGGGCTTGAACCCACAACCCTGAGATTAACCTTGCAGGTCTACTCCTTTGCCTCTCCACTCGGGCTCTTCTGGGATACTGGCAAATGAAGTGAGTATTGCAAGCAGATCCCTCTCATCTAAAGGATCTTGCAGCGCTGCCTTTTGGAATGTCTCGCTACCCAGTTTGTGTGCGTTTCTGCAGGGCAAACCTTTACGTTTTGATATTAAACATCCCCCTGTCCCCCGAGGGAGGGCCATACAGCTTGAAGCCTGCTGATGTTTTGTTTCAAATGGGCAATTCCTCAGCGCATCCCTGTTGGGTGTGTTTAAGACATGAGTAGGCAAACTAAGGCCCAGGGGCTGGATCCGGCCCAATTGCCTTCTAAATCCAGCCCGCAGATGGTCCGGGAATCAGCATGTTTTTATATGAGTAGAATGTGCCCTTTTATTTAAAATGCATCTCTGGGTTATTTGTGGGGCATAGGAATTTGTTCATTTCCCCCCAAAAAAATATACCGAGCCCCCCACAAGGTCTGAGGGACAGCGGACCGGCCCCCTGCTGAAAAAGTTTGCGGACCCCTGATTTAAGACGTAAGACGCCTTGTAGATTTGCTCCCTTGTCTCCTTCCCTCCTCCTTCCTCCCTCTCCCCTCTTCTCAGTTGCCACCTCCCAACACCAGCAGCTCCCGGATGTGCCCGCCAGATGGCGCACTCACACGATTACCAGCCACTTGATCTGCTTCGCCAGCCCCAGCAAGGTGAAGAGACAGATGATGAGGTCCAGCAGCAGCAGCAAAATGTAGGCCAGCCACCTGGGGTGCCAGAGAGCGAGAGATGGGAGTGAGGATGACGCACTCAGCCCGCTTCTTCCACCTCCGACCCTTCTGCCCACCTCTTCCCACTGCCAGGTTGCTCCCCCCACCCCATCCCGGGACTGCAGAGTTGTAGGAAGCCGACTCTGCCATCAGCCAAGGGGCAGGGGCTCCTTGGATGCTCCCCTTCTGTCCTACCAAGCCTCCCAGGCAGTGGTGCAGTGTGTTAAATCCTGAAATTCACATGCTCTTCATGGCACCAAGCAGCAAAAATGGCTTTTTGACCAACACAGGCATCATGGCAAAACACTCCCTAAGTTTCCTTTCCACGTCCTGTACCTCCTGCTTTGCTGAACATCCAGGCTGATTAGAAGACTTAAAAGCTTCCTCCAAGTTTTGCAGGCATAGGCAAACTCGATGTTTTGGGACTACAACTCCCATCATCCCTAGCTAACAGGGCCAGTGGTCGGGGATGATGGGAGTTGTAGTCCCCAAACATCTGGAGGGCCGAGTTTTCCTATGCTTGCTGTTTTGTGACATTTTTGTTGGTCATCATAAAGCAGTGGTTGGTTCTCAAACTATTTTTCCCCCTCTGGATCACGCTTTCAGAATGAAAAATTGCTCGCGCCCCACCGATTTATTTTTTTTAATTGATAAGAAATACTTTGGAAAACAAAAAGAAAACAATCCCTAGCAGTGCTTGGTTTATAACACAGGACACAACTGCTTTATAATACGGTCATAGGGACATCCAGCAAGTATAAAACAAGGCAGCTACACATAAGAACATGGATCATTCCCAAACACTTAATGTTCTTGCTCTCATCCTGAAAAGATATCTATCCATATTCTGCAAATAATATTAATAATAATTTTTTACTATACCACACTGAAATGTCTAAACGTTTATGAGATTGCCCTCGAATCTTTCTGACGCACTTGCCATCTTCTTCCGCTACACCCTCTGAGAACCACCGTCATAAAGGGACTTTGGGGTTTCCCACCCACCAGCCTGCAAATAATGAGTGGCAGTTCAGCCCATAGTCTTACAGACTAACGTAAACCTACTTTATTCTCTAAGCTTATTTGGGGCCCCTCTGGACTGGTGTTTTATTACGGGTGTGTTCAAGAACTTGTTATTGACACAGTGATAGTGTGTTCAAGGCAGGTTCACTCTGTATTTATTAAATTGTTGTTCCCCAATCCTATCACATGGTGGCTATTTCAGAAGGGCCAGAACAACTGCGGTCCACAAAGGTTCTACGATTTCAGCAGGAAGTAATGGGATGTGCACTGATGGGAGATGTGGATTGTGTTAGGTTACAAAGGCCTATAGACAGCTGGTGTTTCTACTGTTGATAAGATTCTCGAGGTTGTTGTTTTCTTAGGGAATGCATGAATGCTGTGTTGAACTCTGTACTTTTCTTATTCCAAGTCGCCTAAAAAGTGTTTTTGCACTAATAAATCCGAAAAGCAACAATGAAAAGAAAACATATGCTCCCTGGAGTACACTTTTTCTCATCATATATCCATTTCTACAGAAACCCTGTCTTTCTGTCAGTACTAACACCCACCATCATTTCCCAGTGCAAAAAAGGTAAAGGTAAAGGACCTCTGGACGATTAAGTCCAGTCAAAGGCATCTATGGGGTTGTGGTGCTCATCTCGCTTTCAGGCTGAGGGAGCCGGCGTTTGTCCACAGACAGCTTTCTGGGTCATGTGGCCAGCATGACTAAACCGCTTCTGGCGCAACAAAAGCCAGAAGACGTGGCAACGCTGTTTACCTTCCCACCGCAGTGGTACCTATTTATCTACTTGCACTGGCGTGCTTTTGAACTGTTAGGTTGGCAGGAGCTGGCACAGAGCAATGGGAGCTCACCCTGTTGCATGGATTCGAACTGCCAACCTTCTGATTGGCAAGCTCAAGAAGCTCAGTGGTTTAGACCACAGTGCCACCTGCGTCCTCAGTGCATGCCCTTCTTCAGCACCCCATATCTCACCTGTAATCTTCCAGGTAGCCGATTTGTTCTGCTAGGACGCTGGGTGTGCTGCGTGCCTCGCCCCAGAAAGGGATGCCATCCAGCGTTTGCGCTACTGCCTCTGCCTGGCGGCGTGTGTTCCGCACCACGGCCACCAGCTCAGTTCGTGGGGACAGCGTCTCCTCCAGCTGGGTCAGCTCCCCCCGTACGGTCGCCGAAAGCAGCTCCACCGTCTCAGACACCTGTGGGTAGAAAAGAGGAGAGTCGCAAAGCGAGGTGTAGGCAAGGAGGAGAAGCCATATGCGCCACATGGCATCGTGTGGCGTGCAGGGCCTTGGCACAGATTCGTACACCAGACGCCCGTGGCAAACGCGACGCATTGTGTCCCATGTGCGCCTGTTCACACCGGACCCGAGTGCCAAGCTGCGCTTCGAGAACAGGCTGTCCTTACATCAGCGACAGAATGACTTAACCACAGGGTTAGTCCTGGAGATTGGCTCCCATCTTGCCAGCACTGCAGAACCTTTTCTGCGCTATAGTGGGGGTTGGCGGGGTCAGGCTCTGTGACCTGGATTATGCAAATCAAACGTATTTGCTGAGATGTGTTCATTTCCTTCTTTGCACAGCCAAAGGGAAGAGGACATTTGAAAGTTTATCAATGGCTATGAGGTGCAATATGGAGGAATGCCTTTCCGCGTTCAGAGGCGAGACTCGCACCGGTTGCATCACACCAAGGGGGCCATTCGGTGAGCAGCGAAGACAGAGCGTTGGATTAGATGGACTCGCACCCTTGGCTTGCCAGATGCCATGACCTTGCCTTCCCCATAGTGGGAGGGAATCCAGTGTCGTGCTGTTCTAATGTTTTTTCGGTGCCTGTATTTTTGCTTACCCAGTAGAACCACCTCCTAACCCCACACACTATTCTGGGGGTTCTCACAACCTCCCAGAGCCGATCTGAGGCATGTGTGTGTGTGTCAGTGTGCAGGGAGAAGGGAGAAGGGGAGGGAAAGCCATGCTGTGCCAGCCAAAGTCCTTGTGTGGGCTTCCAGTAGCAGGATGAGTTTGTTCAATCTGAACCAGTAAGTTTCCCCACACCTGCTGGAGGCTGTTCTGTTGGGCCAATGGGCTAGTGCCCCACCAACGTCATCTCAGCCAGCCCCCACTGCCTGCCTTCTTCCTCAAAAGCAGCCCATAGGCTGGCGGACTGGCTGCCGCTCTTCCTGTTCCTCACTCTCCGTTCTGTCATTGTAGAACTTAACAGGAAGGAGGACGAGTTGGCTCTGCCTGTCCTTGGCTCTGGCGCCACCTACTGTTGGCCTCCCTGCCTTCTGCCCTACCAGTCCCAATAGACACTACCCATCACTGCCTGTGCCACACATGGCATTCTCATTCCACTCACCTGCATCACCAATATGCTACAGGTGTTCACCTTTAACACCAAGCGCACTAGGCCTGCCCTTCCAATTTCCCTACAGGCTCTGCTGCTGACATCTCTGCATGCTGAGCAGGCAGGTCTGAAGTGGGATCTCTTCACACATTGGGCTGGATGTGCTTAGAGATCTCCTATGCAAACTGGAGCCCTGATCATTCAGGGTTCTCGTTCATCTGTAGGATTGTAAGTGGGTGATAGCTGAATACTGAGAAATCTCCCCTTTGGACCTTCTGTTCAGGGTGCTAAGTTTCCGGGGTGTAGCCAGAAAGGACAGGGCTGGCTTGCAAACCCTGATTCCTCCCTACACATGCTCTGATAACGTGTGGAGGTGAATGCCTAGACACGGCTTAGCACTTGTGACAATCTTAGCCGCCGTGCGCCATCATATTAGGGGCACTTGCAACATGTCGGACGCATGCTGTGCACATTTCCCTGGAGGCAAGAGGCATGAGTCAAATACCAGCGATCTAGCCACGGGTTGCTTACAGCCAATTTCAACCTATGGTTCTTCTCTGCAAGTGGAGCACAGGTTAAAAGCGTATTCAGGGGTAAACGGACCATATAAACAAGTGCATGGGGTTTCCCCGCTCGTTCGCTCACGCACTCACCAGAGCATCGATGGAGCTTAGTGTGTGGTTGGTGTTCAGCAGCGAGTATGTGACCTGGTACACCCCATCGTTGGTCTCGCTGTTTCCATAGAAACCGATGCCAATCCCAGCACTGTGTTGGGGGTGGAGAGAGGCAGAGAAATGGATCAGCATGCATGCAGGGTTTGCAGCTGGCATAACCCCGTTCCCAGAACAAGGGGAGGGTGTCCCTTAAATCCTGCATGGCCCCTTATCTGTGCTGCTCATGCCTGTTTA